TCGCTGTTTTTGACAATGAAATCGCTTGGATCCAAGTGAAAAAAATGATGTTAGCTACCTTTACAAAGTATGCTAACACTCTTAACAACACATATGGGCTAAACGAAGCGTATACCTCAAAAAAATTGCAATCAACAAGAGCTCCCTGTCTTGATGACTTAAGTCTTTGGTTTGACTGTTACGGATGCTCACAAATTGTTACTGACACTTTCAAAAGACCAGTAATTTTACATGCTACAACACCGAAAGTCGACAAGTATGAAATCACGTGGAGAGATAATGATGGAAACATCATATACACCAAAGATTCAATCACTTTTGTACCACTTCTTGGTCTGGATTTGGAAACAATGAATGATCCTATTCAACTTTTGTTTGCCAACAGTCATTTTTATATGATTTTACCTCAAATCGACAACAAAACGAAGAAAGCTTTTAAAGTCAAGAAATGGCCAACATTAAACTTTTCACACCAAAAAGTATTCGACGCGCACCGAGACATTTGTGTCAACGACGTGTCTCACTACTTTCAAAACAACTAGACAGGATAATTTTATAATTTGCTTCCCCAATCCTTAACATTCTCCCAAACTTTATATTTTATCTCATAATAATCAAAACCCAAAAACAAAATAAAATTTAGACTAAAAGCATGAGCTCACACTCAAAACCACATTGATTCTCTTCATCACAAAGTATGGTTGCGCCAGCGAAAAAAAATATAGTCCGCCAGCGAAAAAAAAGTATGGTGCGCCAGCGAAAAATTATGGTGCGCCAGCGAAAAAAGCATGGTGCGCCAGCGAAAAAAGCATGGTGCGCAAGAAAAAAATCCAATGTGCAAAAATCATTTTTGGTCCGACCCGGAATTTTATTATTTGACCGGACAGAAAAAAATGGTGCGCGAGATTTTTTTTTCAAGCAAAAAGTATGGTGCGCGTATAATTAGCCCTTGGAAAAACGTTTGTGAGTCCCTTGAAACCAACTTCTCTAAAGCCACTGCTACCCGAGCAAGAGTAAACCGTCGCACACAGTGCTCTTCTACCTACGCACATCTTGATGGTCCTCAAGCTTCGGTTGATACAATGTCGAATCACCTGTCTAGCGTATACGCTGGTAATCTCCTCCCTCCTCCGCTACCCAGTTTCCTTGATAATTGTCCTCTCCCTGTTCCTGATGACGGACTATTTGACCTTGATCGTGTTTTAGAATACATCAACCGATTACTATCTCGCAGGGATCCTGGCTCTGACCACCTCAAGGCTGAAATGCTTAAGTCTCTTGGCAAAGACATAGCTAAAGTACTCTCTTTCCTGTTGACCCTTTACTACCAATGGTTCTATACACCTAGCCTATGGCGCATAGCTAATGTATTTCCCGTTCACAAGAAAGGTGACCCTTTTGACCCAGCCAGCTACAGACCTATTTCATTGACATCTGTCATTCGAAAACTGTTTCAATTTACTCTCTCTGCCTCTCTCTCTCTCCTCACCCCTCAACTAAATGTAGCTCAAGGTGGGTTTCGCCCACAACGTAGCTACCTTGATCGCGTCCTCTGTTTACATGACCTCGTACGTGACTATCTCCGTACAAATCATCGTCTTCCAGTAGTAGCATTCCTTGATACAAAAGCTACTTAGATACAAAATGGGATTAGGGACCCGAAGTGGCGGCCCATTATTGTTTTATTGTTTAGCGAATCCATTTAGCCACACTGGTGGATAATAAAAACCAATGGAAAGCCAAAACCACTGTTTTCTTAAAATTAGTACGTTGTTAACCGTCATAAAAAAATCTTCATGTTTTTCCGACAGTTTTTTACGACTGGCACTTTAAATTTGACGAGAATAATTGCAGTGTAAAAAATTGTTTACGCGATGTCTCTGTCTTGAAACAATATAGTGACACAAAGCTATAAGTTACACTAACCGAAAGTGTATTTTCAAAATCCTTTCGGTGTCGATATACTTTTATACCTTTCCGCATATTCGGTGACAAATGCAGACCTGAAAAGTTGCTTTGTTGGACTAAACGTATAACACTGGTACATTTTTTCTACTCGTTATGGTCTAAATGTTTGCTTACTACCTTTGGCGGACGGCCAAGAAGTCGGGTAGTTTTCGGAACAAGTTGGCCTTGCTAACTCTGTTAAGAGAGCGTTTTATGCAGCAGTTCTAAACCATGACTCACCAGCACTGAAACCGTCAGCCAAGTATTTGACTACACTAGCTCTTTGACGTCCAGAAGTACGCGGCACGTTTTGGATAAAAACCCATTTCGGTAAATATTTCGGAAAAAAATGCTTTAAGGTGTCACCAGAATGTAAGAAATTGGTACATTTTATACGGAACGCTTTTAGCCAAGTTGGTAACGTAGTATTAAAAACCAAAAATTAAAATTGTTTCCAAAGTGTCAAAATGATATCCGTATATGACATCACTATAAAATATTAAAAAGTCAAATCATTGGGTTACTTTTGGCTTGTACGGTATATACATTTTCGTCGTTTATAGCTCGTTTGAGAATGATATGGCATGATTTTTGAGTTTCTTTAAAGGTGGAGCAAACGACGATAATCTCTGTAAACATTTAAAACGCTTGAACCACCCAACTAACGTTTCTAGACTTTTGTAATTTATTCTGGGTGTTAGCTAAATGTAACTCTAGAAGCCTAAACTATGAGATCTTTACGGATAACGGACCCGAATATGCTAAGGTATCGGATCTTGACGGATAACGGGCCAGAGTTCCCTGAAGTGTTGGATCTTGACTGATAACGGACCAGAGTTTACTGAAGTGCTGGATCTTGACGGATAACGGACCAGAGTTTGGATAAGTGTCGAATATCCATGATTAACGGAAGGGAGTTCCGAGATCTAGTCCTACCAAATACCTTCGTGGAGCAACTATACAGACAATAAACATTATTTTGTTGGACTCTCAATTTAATTTTAAACCGCCAAATTTTATTCGGGAAAAATGGGACTTGAATTTCACGTAATGCGTTGTCAAGGGGAACGAAATTTTAATCTAGATATTGTCGTGCTGGATGTAAATCTACAATACATAAATGAGATATCCTTATATTTGAATAATTAAAACGTTGAATATTGGCTGGACAACTACAGGCAAAACAAAATATATTGCCTGACCTGTCAAAATTAGTAGCGCAGATTTAAGTAACTATCTCGTTACCAGATTTACTAAAAGCAGTTACAGAAATTGGTTTCATGCAATTCTAATGAGTGGCTCTGGCTGTTTAAAACTGATCGTTCAGTTGTTGAAGATGTCGTAACTCAGCCCATAACTAACTGACCAAAATATGGATTCATTCCCGTGAGGTCCAACCGTCGTGGAAATCATGTATTTATTGCAGGCAAACCGGAAATTTATTCAGAGTACTCTAGTGTATCATTTATTGACAGATAACGTACCCGAGTTTCTAAAATCTAACACGACTTAAATTATTCTATGATCCGGGCCTAACATTTTTACGAATAAAACTTAACTGAATATGCAATACAACCGGGAATTACGTGTACTTTTATCTTCACGATGTCGCCTAAAATCATAGAATAACTTTAAGTGTGGTGATTTCTGGAAACTCTGCGACATTATCCGGTGATATCTAACACTTAGGAGTACGCCGATAACATTTACGGAATGACCACAATAAAGTACCGAAATCTGGCATGGATGGTCAAATATTCATCCAACCATGGTTGTCCTGAATTAACTCGGCTTTTTTCCATGTTGGTAAAAGATATAACAACCCGACACTCTAACAGTACATAAATTGCTAAGACAGGTCATACCTTTGAATGTCTTAGATCTTACATATATTTTTGGTCCCGAGTTTTATGTGTTTTATATTTTTATAAATTTCTCCATTTCTATGATCAATCAATGAGGGTATACCAATTTTAAAACAAGAACTCAATTGGTTTTTTAGCCTGTATCTTTAACCGCTGTAACTTGGGTATGATTTTCAAAATGACACAATTACAAGACCTTCAATACCTACACTGAAGGCGTATTTTTGCGACTCTGACAAACAGCAATTATACACGAAAAATTACCGCTAGTCAGTAAATGCCAGCCAAAACGTGAAGAATCTTCCCCCTCGCATCTTTATTTAGTTTGTTGAAACCAGCAACAATTTAAATTTCATAAAACATTACACTAAAGGGTACGGAGGAAATAAAACGAAAGATGTTGACACATCCGAATTTTGTGGCAGAGGCACGTACGTCAATTATACCTAAACTTTTTGCTAGCATTCGTAAAAGCCCTGAATTCAGCAAACCAAAACCTGAAGATCAGATGAGTACGACATTTCCGTTTTACGTTGTTAAAACCAGTAAACAATTGGCCTGAAAAGAAAGTGCCAAAGAAACAATATAATACTATAGTTGGAACATTTGTAATGACCATTACGACCGACACTGAGGTGTTTGCAGACCAGAAGGTCTACCTTGGAAGAAAGGGAAACGTATATTTGAACTACCAATAACGCGTTGTACTCAAAACATTGTGTACCAGCCATCTGTCCTATGTTTGCTAGCAAAATGGTTTGCCTTCTATCCGGTACAAAGCATCTCTGGCCCACGCAAAATATGCCATCCTTTAGATTTTGGGCCTTTTTTTTTCTTTTGTGTTTTTTCTGTAAAGGTTACGTTTTTTTTAAAAATATACACGAACTAGGTTTTCCCCAATTTATATACTAAGGTGTCCTCATTTAAATGTAGATTTTCTTTTTAAAACGTTTCGTCGAATGTAATAGCCAGCCAGCCAAATATTTTAACTCAGTTGGTAGAAGGTCCTTTCTGGGACACTTGTTTTTTCTTACGAATGAAACAACAAAAAAAGAAAGTTTCGAAGTATAATTTAGTATCGCAAAAGTAACATGTACACGATGTTAAATAGTTTTTTGGTCTGATTTGTTTTGCGATCTCCTGCGTAGTTACTATTTTGAAGTGGGAGACTTGAATGTAGTTGTTCAGTTAATTGAGATTGAATACGGGTGGTGAGCCACGGTTTTTCTTGGGAATGACAAACATGCTGCTGTAAACGTCTGTAGTTGTTGGCCGAATGTTTTTAATTGCACCTTTGTTGATTAAAGTGAAACTTCTTGATCCAGTAATTGGTCTTCTTTTTGACTGTACGGAATTGTTATTGGAGGTGGCGATGTGAACGAAATTTTGAAGCCATAACGAATTGTTTTGAGAAGTCAGTTGTCCATGCAAAGAGTTGTCCATTGAGAATAGTACTGGCTGAGACGACCCCCGACGATTAACAATAAATTTGTTACAGTCACCTGGGATGGTAGGGGTTGTTGTTTGCCCTGGGTTTACTGCCATTGTTGTGACTACGGTTTATGATGTTAAAATAAGTTAGAGAAGTTGGTCTTTAGAAGTTGATCAAACAGAGATAAATTAGAGTTGGAGTAGCTTAAGCCACAGATTATTTATTCAAGTAAAAGATAACTGTTTATTGATTAAATCTAGAAGAGTATTCATACTAAATATTCTGGATAAACTATTTGTATAATATATCTTGCAAAGGTACGAAGGTAGTAATTGGTGTTTGTCTTAAACTAATAATGTTGAGGAAAGAAGTTGTTTTCTATTGTGGTTATACTTTGAATGTCCGAAGCTGGACTCACAACAATGTTGCTGTGACTGCTGTTGTTGTTGTTGGCTTGAATGTTGGCTGGCCGAAATGTGGTGTGGTTAAAATTCTTGCGATAACTTCTCGGCTGAAAGGACAAACGTGACAGAAAAAACTGCTGGTTTGAACCATTTTGTGGTTGACTACAGTTACGTTTCTTATTACAACGAGCAATCGTTGTTTTAAATGCTTGATACATAGACGTTTGTTGAATTAAGGTCTCTTACAAATCGGCAGGTGCATAGTAAAGTTAATAATTCTAGTTGACGTACTGGATAAGAAAGAATGGTTAATTGCGGATAAAGCGATGTTTGTGCGCATGTCATTAATTTGAGCAATACACTACGACAATTCTTGAGTATATCGAGAAAACTTTGAGTATTTGCATTAGGGGGTCCCAAACAATAGGGGGTCCCAAACATTAAACTTTTTATAAAATTATCGGGCGCTTTTTTTAAAAATTCCGGGAGCTTTTTTTGTTGTGGGTGACTGTCTAAAAACCTTGTCACTTAGCCAAAAGTACACTCTCGCACTTCTCTGCCTTAGTTCCTCTTTTACTCCTCTTTTACTCCTCTTTTACTCCTCTTTTACTCCTCTTTTACTCCTCTTTTACTACTCATTTACTTATAAATCTCTCTATAAACTACCTTTACAATGCCCAAAGTATCAACCAGACAACAAACCTTGAAAGAAATGAAAACTTTGCATAAGCACAGTGTCATCGTTGAAGACGATAAACAAGCCGATGAGATGCACGAATTATTGAGCGAATTAGAAACGAAACGCGTTTTGAACAGTGGAGCAGGCATCCCTAAACTTAACCAGTACCGTGAGTGTTTTCTCAAGTGGGATGACGAAGAGTTTGTCAAGATGTGTCCAATGAAGAAGGAAGTCTTTCTTGAAACTTCTTCGACTTATTGAAGACCACCCTGTCTTCAACAACAAGAGTTTTTTCGCCCAGATAGATGTTCACATTCAATTTGCGGTGACCTTAAGACGATTGAGCCACGACGGAACAGGCAACAGTATCGACCAGATTGCCACTTTGTTTGGGATCAGTAAAGGCTCTGTCACCAACTACACGCAACGCTGCTTCAAGGCAATCAATGACAACCTTGGACATTTAATGCGTTGGCCCAACAAGGAGCAAAGAGAATGGTCGGCCGCAGCAATCAAGAAGTACCACTTCTTTCGAAATTGCATTGGGTATATTGATGGTACTCATTTTCGTCTTGCGAAGAGGCCAACGAAGCATGCCGAAACGTACTACAACCGAAAGGGTTTTTACTCTTTGAATTGTCAAGTCGTATGCGACGAAAGGATGATCATTTTTGGATTGCAAGTAGGACATGTAGGTTCAGTGGGTGACGCCACATGTGTAGAGTATGCCAGCTTTATGGTAAATAAAGACCACCTTTATTTCACATGTGGTAATGATGCAAACCATGAGTATCTTCTGGGTGATTCCGGATATGCTCTACATCCATTCGTTCTTACCCCTTTCAGGAGACCTCAGGTACTGAAATCCAAGAAGTGCAAAGATTTTAACAAGGTACATTCTTCTGCGAGAGTTGCCGTCGAGAACATGATCGGTGTACTGAAAGGTAAATGGAGGATCTTGAAGAACATTCCCATCCAGATAAATTGCAACGAGGACGTGACGAAGATCGACGAGATGGTGTCTGTTTGTCCTCTTTTGCACAATTTCTTGATTACTGAAAACGACAATTTTGCTGGCGATTTTTTTGAAAACGTGGATGTAGGTCAGTCAAGAAAGGATGTATTGTTGCTTCAATTGTTCGACAACATCAAAAGTAATTCTGGTCGTACACTGAATAGATGGAGGGATTCGGTTGTGGATGTAGTATTGGCAGATTACACTGTACATTTCGCAGGAAATAAAAAATTAAGAAATTAGATCGATGAAAAGTGCATTATAGTTTGGAAGTCATGAGCAAATTTATTATTGTAATGAATGAGGGATGGTAGAAGGTCATTAATGATATAATCAGGTAAATATTAGTTTTAAAAAAAGGTTTTATTCAAAAGAAAAAAAAACTAACGTCTAGCTACTTCAGATCCATCATTAGAGAAATCATCGTTACCGTCAAAAGCGGGTTCACCTTCACTATCACTTCTTACGCGATACGCCTCTTCGTTACCTCGAGCATTACCAAGAGGTTCCCTCAATGATTGCCGGAACGCCGCAATGTGTTGGGCAATTTCCGTGAAGGACGTCGTTCTGAACGCATTAGTTCGAAGACTTGTAACCAACAGCTCCGTCATACCCAGCTCGAACTCCCTCTGGCTGTTCTCCCGCAGCACTTCATCTCTTCTCAGTTGGGCTTCACGGTACTCGGATGAGAAATCCCTCTTGATTCTCTTGTTTCTCATTGCATGGTCAGGATCAACACGAATTTGATCGACAGAAGGAATTTCTGGACGAGGTCTAGATAACCCAACATTCCCACGAGCACCACGAGAACTACGACCACCAGAAGCACGAGTACTATTGGAGCTACCACGAACACCCCAGGAACCAGCATTGACACGAACAGCGTCTACATCATCATCGTCATCGCTGAATGCATTCGTGCCAAGGATTTCAGCGACTTCCCTGTCTAATGACACTGAACTACGACGAGTTCTAATACGATCTTCAGGAACCACAGGAAGACAAGACGTATCGTTGTCACCTATAGGCTCAGCAGACAAAGAGCGAGGAATCATTAATGGTCTAGGAGACGAAGGGCCAACAGAAGGATCGTGGGTACGAGCTGCAGATTCCTCAGAGGCAGATCGAATTGGCTGAGCTGGTTCAAGCTCTTCGCCCTCACCAAAAACAGCACGGGTCTGTTCATCAATTGCCGTAATGGTGGGCTCTTTTCTACTAGAGAACGGATACTCAGTACCGCCAGGAGCACCATGGAAAGCTACGCAAACAGGTTGGGTATTAGGCCTATCACCATGCAAAGTCGACAATCGTTCGAATCCAGGACATTCCAAATCGCACTTTTGTTCGATACTGGTGATCCCCCACGAATGTCCTTTTCTGTCAAACCAAAACCAATGTCATTCAACATTCCCTCTATTTCACGGTATTTGGCAAAAAGACGGGCAACACCTTTCATAGGCCGATCCAGCGTCCAATCGGTGGGTATAGCCTTGTCAGCCAGCAGTTTTCTCAATATGCCCTTAATAATTTCACGCTTCTTGACTATGGTAACAGCTCCAGGGGCAGCGTTATCATGTACCCCGATGTATGCTTCAAAAAGCTTTATATTTTCCTCGAAGTAACCAATCCTCGTGTTGCCATGAGCAGGACTAGTGTTCGATCCTCTTTGGCTATCATTAACAGAAGCTGTTTTGGAAGACGGTTTTTTGGATGTTCTAGCGGTAGTTTGTTTTCGTTGACTGGGCATTTCGGTTGATACAATTCAGAAAAAAATCTAACATAAAGAAGGTAAATCAAATGTAGGATAAACGAGGTTTATATATGATAATTAGAAGACTAGTGACATTTGCATGTCATTTTTATGATGTAAAGTAAAGAAAAACAAACTATTTATTACTTTTTATGGCAATTTTGTCATAGTTTATGACGTAAAATCCACGGACGATAATTAACGTCCGTCATTTTTCTTGACCGATATTTATTGTCCATTCCTGGATTTTTAATTGAGAAAAAAAGTTCGGAATTTTTATTTTTAATGTTTGGGACCCCCTAATGTTTGTAGCTTGACTAATGTTTTATTCAAGTACATCAAAAGGTCGGGAGACACCTGACAGAGTTACTGCAAGCTTTTGAGTACATGTCTTGTTTAGACTGATATTTTTTCATTTTGTGAGAAGCACTGGGAATTCTACCAGGAGGTTGATAAGGAAGCTCTTCAATTTTTGAAAATTGATCTATTAGCTTGCGACATTCCTTATCCGGAATCATCATCGTTGGGAAAAGCGGTGGGTCCAGGGTAACGACTTCGGTAAGAAAGTCGGGAGGATTCCAAGAGCATGACAGCCTGATTCCTAAAAAATGCAGAGCAGCGATGGTCTCATATTATTATTTCATTTAAACGTTAGGGAATGTCTGTGGCTTTGTAGAAGTTTGAACTCTTGATTATGCTACTATATAGCCGTTCTAATTGAAGTATTCTTTGACTCATAGCAACAAATTACCCATTTCGGTCAAGTGAAATGGAGTCTGTATATCCGTTGCTTACTGAGCGAGAAGAAAGATCAATTATAAATTGTATTTTCCGAATTCAATTTATTTCCTTTTTTTCACAGACTTGAAGTAAAAGGAAGATAAAGCAATCATGTTTCAAATTTTTTATTTAAGTCTCTTAACCAACCCCGTTACAATTTATTTTGACCCTTGAATCCAAACGAGACAGTTGCAATTTTAAGGTGGTTTAGGCCCCTCACAAGCACACAAAAAAATTTTAACGGTCCAAATATAGGACTTTTTTTTCGTTGTCTGTTTTTTTTTTGGTGAAAGGTTACCTCGGATTCCAAAAAGATGTATTTTTTGAGAAATTCGTGACGATGCTTTTTAAATGGCTTGTTATGGATGATTAAAATTGATGTTTTCTCGAATTGCTAAAATGTCTGGACTGGATTTTTTTTATTTTTTCTTTTGCCCCCTTTCCATAATTTATTTTAATTTTGAAGTTAAAAAAAATTAACCGTCTTCAAATTGCAACTGTCATGTATCAATTACACCTTCACATTATGGAACTTTTAGAAAATTCACGTCGTTTGGAAGAAGATGCCAACAGTCTTCACTCGATTAGTGAACTCTTCATTGCCGAACGCCTTCAATATGGTTATATTGCCAGTGACTTCCAGAGTCAATTCGGTGTTGCCATCACCAGTTTACCCATTTTTTTCGGCGGTGAATATGTCGAGAGAACCTGAACGTTTGATGGTGCCGTTGGTCGTAGAGAGTCTCGTTGATACCACTTTTGGAATTTGGAACACCCTTTTCTGAACGATGATGACGAGAATCAAGGCAACAGTTACCGGGCAACATACCGCATGAGTAAGTGTGCATTCGAGTATCTGGTAAACTAGCTGTCCTTGCACGAGGCGTTCAACCCTGTCGCACCTAACACCATCCCGATCTACATTCAGATCGCAACGGCTTTATTTCGTTTGGCCAATAGTCATATCAGATATCGTCAAGCGTATATGCATTTGGGTGTTTCTTACGGTAGTTATAACAACTTCACCAAACGAACAGTCAGAGCAATCAAAGGAAGACTGGATCACTTAGTTGCTTGGCCAACTGACCCAGAGGAAGCAGCTGAAGTAGCTCTCGGGTTTGGTAGTAACGATGGTCGCAGGTTGAGCCACGTTATTGGTGCTTTGGATGGCAAGAATGTCAAAATTCATAAGCCTTCTGGTGAAGCTGGCGGGATGTTCAGAGATCGTAAGAATGATTACTCTGTCAAACTGACTGCAGTTTGTGTCTCTGAGTTGCGATTTACGTACATCAGAGTAGGTGATTCAGGTATTGTAACCAAAGCCAAAAACCTAAAAAATACAAATATGCTAATATGTATTAATCTATCAGGAAGAACACATGATGCGGCCGCATTCACCTCGAGTGATCTCTTTAGAACCATACTTGCGAACCCTGAGACATACTTCCCTGGTCGTACGTTTTTGGTTGTTGACTCTGCATATCCGTTGGGTCCCAATTTGATTACACCCTTCCCGGAAAGTCAATGTTTGGTTGACAGCAATAAACGTACATTCAACCATGTACATTCGGTGACGAGAATGGCTATTGAAACAGCGTTTGGCGTACTGGTGCCTCGTTGGAGATTTACGGTCGATATATCTACGTCTTGGATCAGCTGGCAATCAATGAGGTTATTACTTCAACCTGCATCTTGCACAATATGTGTATTGATCTTCGTGATCCGGGCGTTACAGATGTTGTTCTGGATAGCATCCGTGGTGCTGTTGGCAGAGAAGAGGCAGATTCGGATATAAATGGAAACGATAGACGAACCGAATCCCTTACTAGCTTGATCCGTACCAGAACAAACTATAGAGACAGAACAAGGGAAGTATAAAAAAAACTTTATTTATATTAAAAAAAATTAAATGTTATTATCGTTAGAGGAAGGAGGGGAAGGGTTGTTGTTGTTGTCGCTAGTATTGGTGGTGGAAGGGGAAGAGGTAGGAGGGGGGTTATAATTTGCAAGAGATAAACCAAACAATTCGGCCATTCTAGTCATAGCCGAAGTAGCGTCTCTCCACATCTCCGAATTTTCACGTCTTAGACGGTTATTCAGCTCGATTTGCTCTCTATGAAACAGACGATCATCAGCTCCCTCTTGACAATTTCTTTCGTCAATTTCTTCCATACGGTTTGCCATAAACCAGACAGACACATCAACGTTTCGAGGTCGTCTGGTCACAGGCTCCTCCACATCATCATCATCTTCTACTGTGAATCGTCTATGTCTACCAGAGGTGTGTTGCTCACGATTATCAACAATTTCACCCGAAAGTAAACTATATAGCACGTGTGGGTTGACCGTTGCTATACGGGTCGTTGCATCCTCCATGGCATCATAAAACTCCCAGTGCGGAAGACGAGCACTACCAGTAGTTCTAGCTGCATCTTGTTTTTCTCTGTAGGATGCAATCAGATCACTCCACTTGGTCTTCATCGAGGTAAGACTCCTGGTAACATTGACAGCTTCATGATCGTTAAAATTTCTCAAAACTGCAGCGTCAAGTTGGTAATTTCTCTCAGTCGACAGGGTGTTGGCTATTTCGATGGCATAGTCTCTAAACAACTCAATCAAAACGTACGTGCTGAGTGCGTCCCAAATTCTGCCATTAGATGATTAACGAGATGCGCGATCAGAAGAAGCAGACTCCGAAGGAGTTGCTAGAGCTGCTCCAGAAGAAACAGATGCTTCAGAAGAAGCAGGTAAGTTTGCATCAGTGGGAGCAGTGGGTTTAGTAGGAGGAGTGGAGGGAGTAGATGCTGTAGAAGCAGTGGTAGGGGTAGCAGGGGTTGTAGTAGGTACCGGGGCAGCATTTGATGTGACAGGTACATCAGGTCTGGCAGGTGCTGGTCTGTTGGTTCTGGGTCAACCCCTTTGGGTGTTGCCGTTAAAACCGTTGACGAAGTTTTCGCTGGTGTAATTTTGGAAACTCATTTTTTTTAAATTGGATGATAAAAAGGATAGAGAGAGAGAGAAAACCTGAAGGGGTTGCAAATAAAAATTTATTTTAGAAAAAAAACATTATCGTGAATTTAGTAGTCCGTTTTGGGTTTTTTTTCAAATAACAGAAGGGTTTTTGGTACTGTCAGATTGTAATCCTTTATTTGGATAATTCCTTTTTTTTGCACTGAAAATGTTTCGACCTTTTTTATAATTATCTATTTTTGTAACATTAATTTTTCAATCATTCAAAATGGAATCTGATGTAACATTTCGCCAAAAAAAAAAAACGGACAACGAAAAAAAAGTCCTATATTTGGACCATTAAAAAGTTTTTTTGTGTGCTTGTGAGAAACCCAAGGCAACTGGGACTGACATGGCAGAAAGCTTATTTGACATTGACCAGGATATGGTTGATCTTACTGATAGCATAGCAGATGATGAGGTGAATAATATGGTGGATGCGGCTACCGTTGATGACGTTGATATGGTTGTTACCTTTGGTGTTGAGGTCGTAGGTGATACTGGTGTTGACTGTGGTAATATTGCTACTCCTGGTCTTGGTGCTGGTGTTAACCGTGGTGATGGCGCTACTCCCGGTCCTGGTGCTGGGGTTAATCATGGTGTTGGAGGTCGCCGTAAGGGGATTGCCGAACTTGGTGCGGCTCCTCAAGGTGGTGGAGTTCGAAGTAAAGTGAATGGTAATAAGCATGCTATAAGTAAAAAGGACAAAACTGGTACTCGACAACTAGCCAAGGTCAGACAATTTGGCGATCCTGAAGTTCAGGTTGGTAAACCTCCAGGCTTGATGGACTATATTAAAAACAAAGCTAAACATAATGCGGATAAGGCCCAATGTTAAGTAAATCTCTCCGCTTGGGCTCACTTAATGCGCGCAGCATCTTCAAGTCGACGAGCCCTCAAATACAAAAAGAATTTATTTCTTTTCTGCGTAATCGTTCTTTGTCTCTGGATGTCCTTTGTCTTCAAGAAGTTTCCTTTTTTTATCAGGCCCATCCTACTGATGATCAAATTGTTCAATTTTGTACCTTTCTTTTTCTTCGTTACTCAGTGGTTGTCTCCAAGTATTGTCCGATTGTATGTTTTAACTCTGGTCGCTACCTGGATGACACAGCTATTTCATTGGATGAGAGTTGTGTTGTTGGTCAGTAATGGATTTGGAACATAATTTCTTATATCGTGTTGTCTCTGTATATGTACCGGCACAGTCTTCGGACCGTCTTCTCTTTCTGACCAATTTTCTATCTCTACCTTTCTTCTCCTATATGTCTACAACTCCTTGGTTGCTGATGGATGACCTCAACATGAATTTCTATAATGTCAAGGTTACTAGTCATTCCACTGTTTCGGCATGGTTTGATTGGGTTGTTAGTCATTTCGACAATTGTTTTCCGTCTGGTCTCCCAACTCACACGCAGAGTAACTCTAGAACTACTATTGACTATGTCTTTGGTCACCGATCTTTGGCTACTCGACTACTGAACGGTATTTTTTTTGTATGTAACAGTGAGTTTATTTAACACGATAGATATAGAAGTATGACTGGGAAAGCTAAACTATTTCGGTTTAGCAACCTTTGTCTTCGTAAACATTTTGTGACCTTTAAGAGCAGGTTGCGTCTGAACAAATAACTTAGGAGCAGGACCTTTGGAAATTTGCTTGATAGCCTTCTGTTTACCCAAAATGGAGCGCTTTTGTCGTAGCATTTTCTTCAACCATCAACCATTTTACCAGCCAAATGGGATGTCTGAACTGTCACGGCTAAGTACCCTCGTCTTCGTCAATTTCTATGCACACCGTTTCTAAAGTTGTGGCGTACTTAGACGTC